TTTGCACTAAATGACATTTCTGTTTCGGGTCATTTGTCTAAAGGGTCTGTGTTTGGTCAAAAGAGGTCCTTAAATGACTAAGTCGAAAGGGGAATGTCTGGTTAAAAGGATTGTAAGCGTAAGTGTGATGTGTGTGAAAGTGAATGAATGGTTGACTCTGCTAGGATTGTGTAATGTGATTGACTCTTGTCTGCATGTCAGTGAGACGACCAATCACGTGCTATTCACTGTACTCGCATTGCTTATGCTTACCTGAGCCTCGACTCAGACATTTCGTCGAATCGTAACCTTTGTATATTTGGTTTGGGTTTTCGACTTTACCCCTTTGATGTTGAATAGATTAGGACAATTGGCAAAGGCCGAGAGCCTTATTCATATCATTCTTCTTTGACAGGCCATGAGCCTATCTTTTATTTTCGATACATATTTGACAGGCCATGAGCCAACTTTTATTTGTGATGTTTGTTGAAAGGCCAATAGCCTATTGAGTGTTTCACTTTCAAAAGTGAAAGCTTCGTTCATTCTGATGTTTGCCTCTGTTTGTGTAAAATGTAAAAGACATTTCATCGCCTTATTTCTTAGCCTTATCTCGCTTCGCATGTATGTATGCTAGGGTTATAAGGTTTTTCAAAGAAAGATATGTAGAGTGGGCTTAATCACTAGGTAGGATGGGTATGTATTTTATGAGCAGCCCTTGATAATTGAAGTACTGAGAGATATCCTGCTTTGAAATGGGATAAACTATGAGTCACACCTATAGAACCTATTTATATTCAAAGCGTCGTATGCGCGAATGTTTGTCAGTCGAGTCGACCTGATTTGTAAGTTGGTCCGGGAGATCAGCGCCTCGATGCTCGACGTGTATACGGGTCAGTCTTAGGCGTTCAACCACCCGTATACCTATGCTACCGCGATCGAGAAAACATTATCGGCTGACCTACCTCTGCGATTGCATGTAAAAGCCTTCGTATGTGGGTCAGTAGCTCAGCAAGGATACGCCCACCTAAGGGATGGTGACAGCTCCCGCAGGTAGAGGTATGTTGTACCTCGCGGGATCCCTAACCTGTCGTAGGGAGTCGCGAGAGGTATAGCACGCGCGCACGGTCGGAGTTGGTCTTTTCGCTAAAATTAGTTCTAAAACTCCTTCGTGACACGACCGTGAGGTTCGACACCTAAAAATTACTTTACGTCTGGGTGTGAGACCGCCGCGTGCGACAGCGAGATCCAAGATCTTGCGGCCACAAGCATTCGTTTCAAAACGAAGTGGGAGCGATCGTACTCCCACACAGTTTGGAAATACTGTTTTTCCATCCATGAGGCAACAACCTCGTTGTTTTTTTTTTTTTTTTTTTTTCATTGATGCAGCTTTCTCTCTGTTTCCCCGTGCTCCCAGCATGCCAACAGTCACGAGACGTGGGGGAGGGGACATAAAAAAAAAAAAAAAACTACACAAAAAAATCAAAAACTTACCTGAAATAACGAGTTGCTCCAGTTGTGAACGGATATCTATATGTCTCTATGTTTTAGAGGTATATTCATTCGATTTTGCTGAGTCTATTGACTGTCAGGGGTTGCAACCCCCTGATGAGTTGGCGAAAGCCCGATGAAACAGTCTGACACATTTCATGTTTTTCCTCTCTGGTAACCCGTTTGAACAGACTCAGCCACTGTGCGGGCATACCCATTGCACATGGGAAACTCGCTTTCCCATGTTTTAGCTGAAGATTCGTTCGACTTTGCTCATCCTATTGTCGGCAGTAGCATGAGGCCAACCGCGAGGTCTCTCTCTCTCACACACACACACACACACACACACACACACACACACCAGTGAGGTAGTGTATATTTCCATGTTCTCGCTGAAAATTTATTCGATTTTGCTCACCCCTTCTATGGAAGTTGTGAGTTTGGGAACTCCGCCCGTTCGTTTTGACGAATCGGTTCCTCAGCAACTCATATAATCGAAAAAAAAAGAAAGGAAGAAGTTGAAAAGAAGAATCTAAAAGATCTATAACAAAGAATCTATCTATCTATCTATCTATCTATCTTTCTATCTATCTATCTATATATCTTACCTGAAATAAAACGGCTGTTCCTTTTCAATGGGCGCCTGCTGTAGCTCTCTGGGGATTGTAAGTCCCCACTTGTCTAAGTGCCATCTGACGCTCCTAGTTAGTTTAGTGGTTTTTTTTTTTTTTTTTTTTTTTTTTTTCCCGATTAATGCGTGTCATCCTTTGCGCAGGGACCATGCAACTTCGCGCGGCTGATTTCGATCACATGATCTAACCGATCTCGCGGTCGAAATCGACCGCGACTCATGTCCTTCTCTGGTGGGCTGCTCCAAAATGAGCTAGCCCAGTGGGGCACGTCTAGTTTGATCTTGGTGGCTGCTGGGTGAGAGTTGTGCGCTGAAACCTACTGGGCTAGCTTCTGTTCCACGTTGAACAAGAGCAACCCTTCTTTATGAAGAGTTGTGCCCTGCGCAGACAACCAACCAGCGGCCTTGAGGGCTTCCGTCTGCGCCACCACTCGAATATACAGTCGCCGTCCCCTGCTGCAAGCGCACGCCCATTGCCGTAGGGTGGGATATGAAATTTTCATCCCACTGGTGCCAGTTCAAGTCTCAGCGGGGCAAAAATAGGTCTGATGTCCGAATTTTTGGATCGGAACTGTTAACACGACGCGGCCGCTTCTTTTAGCGTACCTAGACCCTGAATCGCGAGCCGCGCGACATCATTTTAAGTAGGATAGGTCTTTAGTTTTACATTCCCATGACCTTGTGCCTCCACGGCCCTGCTAGAAACCGCATTCGACTGGTCACAATGTCGATTACCACCATTATGGACATCACAAGGGTCCGGGCTAAGGTAAAAAGGTTATAGTCTCTCGGTCATACGCTCGTCTAAATAAACCTCTGGCAGACGTCAATCTCATCAAGTCTCTGAATTTAACTAAAAAAAATCGGACAACGTCCGACATTGAAAAACCTGAGCAGATACCCTTGTGAGGGTTTCTGCTCCGACAACGGGACCAAGATTCAGACGAGGAGTAAGGGCGAAGTGCGAGAGGAAAGGGGATGGAAAACAGTTACGGGTGAAGGAGAGAAGGCGGGAAGCGGAGGCTGAAGATGGCATGGGTCCTAGCAGGAAGTGGGGAAAGCTTGCATGCATGGCGCCGGTGCAAAAAAAAAAAAGTCACCGAAACAGTTATGTTCCATTGATTCTGATTCTAAAGCTACTTCAAGATTGAAAAAGTTCAAATGTGATATCAGTGCTCGGAAATCGTACATCTATCCAGCTTCCTATTGAAAATTCACAGATCTTTCAAGGGCGAGTGCGGGAATATCCATTTGCAAGAAAGGACACGTCAGCGGGAAGAGCGCCCCGTAAGTTCCGGAGTTTCCAACTGTCGAGCAAAATTCAGAGCGCTCTCTCTAAGGCGCGCGTAATTCCTACGCAGATGCATGGATTGTCGAAAGGAAATTGCAAAGAAATCCAAAAGAAACTAGTCATGCGATGGCCTGGTTGGGCCGCGACTTCATGCACTGAGCAGATAGCAAAAAGAAGGGGTAGCCGAAAAGGAGCCCAAGAGAAATCCGAAGAGTCAGATCAACAAAAACTCGGGGCTGTCCTTGGGGACATCCATTAAAATTGGAACGATACAGAGAGAAAGAAGATTAGCATGGCCCTTGCGCTTTCAAGGATGACACGCATAAATCGAGAAATGGTCCAAAACTCGGGGCTTCAGAAGATCGTTCGGTCACACCTGGGACCGGAACTGAAGCCTACCAGGCTAAGCTGGCTGATGGTGCCAGTGAGGCCTCGTTGAAACGATTTTGAATGAAGTGCTTGGTTTCCTACCGGGTTGCCAGTAGCTCTATACACCCTCAGCGCACGCCCGCTCTCTCTCTCCCCTCCCCCTCTCTCTCTCTCTCTGTGTACGTCTCTGAGTCTGCTGCCGTACTCACACTTGGACTTTTACGACTCAGTTCTGGACGCGATTGCGGTCACATTCATCTAGGTCAGGCTGCAATTGGGGTCAGATACATTTAGAAAAGTGCTAGTGTGAGTATGCCCTGCGTTGGTCTGTGTCTTGCCTCTGCCTGTCGCTCCCTCCGGTTGTCCCAGTCGTTGGTCTGTGTCTTGTCGTAATGACCAGCTTTTTTTTTTTCCCCCCCATACCTTTATTGCAATCAAAGAACCGAGTCGAGGCCGGGGACCTCACAATTCAACCCGGTGCTATCTTGGCAGATTGATTGATTGATTGATTGATTGATTGGGTCTGAGTGAAGGTCACATACCGTTTGTCCATTCCTTGATTGATTGATTGATTGATTGATTGGGTCTGAGTGAAGGTCACACACTGTTCGTCCATTGATTGATTGATTGATTGATGGATTGATTGATTGGGTCTGAGTGAAGGTCACACACTGTCTGTGAATTGATTAATTTGATTGATTGGGTCTGACGGACGTGAACCGAGTTGCGCGTGCTGGTCTTGAAGCAAGCTGGGGGTTGTTTTCTATACTGGATATCAGGGATGGGAAGGGGATCCAGTGGGAGGGAGACGCTGATGGTGATCTGGAATGAAGGTGGGTGTTGATGTATGTATGAGATATGATGAAAGTGAGGGGGTGTCGAAGCCTCTCGGAAACTTCTGGGAAGACTCCCAGAGGCCACGTTGCTCAGTCATTCAGTAGCGCGAGCGTGAAGATTGTTCCGGGGCAAGAAAGAGGGGGGGGAAGGAGGGGGGGGGGGCGGGCGCGCGCTCTGCTCTTCCGGAAGGTAGGTGTAGATTGATCCGTTCAATTGGGAAAAAAAGGGAGATTGCTTAGGTCGATATATAGTTGGGGCTCTTCCTTTACTTGTTGATAAACAGACCCCAGTTCGTATCGCTGATGGTTGTCGTCGGGCCTTTCGGTTGTAGAAGGCTTGGAGCTACAGTAAAAAATTGGAGCTACAGTAAAAATACTAAGTAGGGGTAACTAGAGTAATCTCATGCGCTTGTTTCCATTGCGTCCTGGTCGTCGTGGGGGGGTCATCAGCATGTGCCATAGGGTTGAATGTATTCGACTGGAAAGTGGGAAAGATTCCGTCGAGACGCTCCTTGTGCGAGGATGAAGCTGTCGATGTGCGTGGGCGTGCATCCGCTTAGGGCACGCACAAACTTGTACTTCCTTGAGTGCTTTCGACTGCATTTACGGCCAGATTCATTCACTCGACAAAGTCCTGATGCGCGTGTTGTGCTCTTTCATCATTTCATTGAGATGTCCAAGGGGCATGCCTCATCGATTTAAAAGTGTCAATCAACTAGCCAATCAACTAGCCAATCAATCAACCAAATGAGGAAAGTGATTAAATCTGTCTTTGCTGACCGATCCCTTAGTTAGTTAGGCGTTAATCGCACCGCAAAGGAGTTCTTTATATAGTTACTTGTTCAGCTCTCCGTTCGCCAATCCTCTTTAGCGGGTAAATCAATCAATCAATCCACCAATCCACCAATCAATCAATCCATCAATTCATTAATCTAGCTAATACATTCATCCATCCATCCATCCATTCATCCTATCCAATCACTCCAACCAGTCAGTCAATCAATCAATCAATCCACCAATCCATCAATTCATCAATCGATCTAATCCATCCATCCATCCATCCATCCAATCAAACCAACCAGTCGGTCAATCAACCAATCCACCAATCCACCAATCCACCAATCCACCAATTCACTAATACATCAACCCATCCAGCCATCGAGCAATCAATCAATCACGCACCTGATCAATCGGCAATCAACGGCGATCAAGACTCCGTCCTTCGCTGCTGTGCATCTAATCAACGGCAATCAAAGAGTGAGGGCAATCGAATCGGCTGGTTGTCAGTTAAGCCATCAGGAGGGGCACGTGGTCAGGGTCAGGATGCAGCCGCAGAGAGCCACGGGAGGAGCAGAAATCTTAACGTCTGGAGATAATAC